GGGCACAGGCACACACAAAACCTGGGATCATGACAGGAGCATTCCTCTGTGTGGGGAAAGGGAGAAATGCAAGCAAGGAACTGCAAGGTGATGAAAAGCTGCTGCAAAACCACCTCCAGCTCCTGAGGGCAAAACCAAACTGCTGCTTTCCCTGTCCTGCTTCTCTTCCCACTGCTGAGGGGAGTTACTGAGCCCAGCTTTAGCTCAGCAGTGGGAAAGGGCCAGCCACATCCCTGCCCACAGGTCACCTCAGCCAGGGCTGCAGGGGTGGGATACTGCCTGCAAGGGGACAGTAGTGAATGAGGAGGGAGTTTGTGGCATTGAAGTGCCTCCAGCAAAAAGGGGCTGCTTGTTTATGCCAGTACATCCCAGTTCCTGGGCTTTACCCCTGGTCTGGGGCAGAGCATTGGCACTGGGCTCCTGGGGGCCTGGCATGGGCTTTTTCCTGCCCTCTCCTGGGACCCACACGGTGCTGATGTCCCAGCTGAGCCTCTCTGTGGCTCAGGGACGTGGCTGCCACTCACCAGTGCTGGGCAGGGAAAATCATCTCCAAGGGGAAGGATCCTGCCTCATCAGGTGCTGGGACCATGCTGGCACCAGCTCTGGCTCCGGCTCCCTTCCTATGGGAAGCAGAAACTCCTGGTCAGCCTTTCAGCCCAAGCAGGATGCCCAGCACTGTTGAGAAGCCAATCCTGGCCCCTCTCCTCTCCCTCCCTGGGCTCCAGGAATTTGCTTCCATCCTGGGATGGAAGCAGGAGTACAGATCCCTTCCTCCCCTGGGATCTGTACTCCAGTTCTGTATCCCTGTCCCAGGGAGGGACAGGCTGCTGGCAGAGATGGGCTGGACTGGAAAGGTTTCTGCCCACCCCCCTCGTGAGGAAATGAACATTCTGTGCCCTCACCTTCCTCCCCCCTTGCTGTGTCTCCAGTCCCAGGGGGAGGTTTGGGGGCCCCTCAGCCACTCCTTCTCTCTGCAGTCTGCAGGGGGTGGCTGCAGAGCAGCTCAGGTGGGTGACCTGCTGCAGCTCTGGCAGCAGGGAATTCCCAAGCTGTTGGAAAGTCCTTCAGGGGTATGAGCAGCGGGATGTCACCTCTCTGCCTGTGGGTGGAGGGGCAGCAGTGGGTGACCTTGCCCAGGCTGTGCCAGCCCTACAGCCACTCCCTCATTTGTTTTCACACACTGTGGTTTGGCCATAAACGGGGGTATCACCTGCACACCTTCCACATCCCAAAGGGATCATCTCCCACAGAGTAACAGGGACAGCTCGTGGTTTGCAGCTCATGTCTCACTGTCACAGCAGTGCCTTGGGTGGCAGGTACAAGCTTGGCCCTGAGGCTGGTGGAGTCAAAGCTGTCACTGCTGGTCTTTTCTTTAAATAAAATATACACTATACTATGATGCATTAATTTCTTTAAAGGGATAGTTCCTAATTTACCAATGACTCCTCTAGCAAGGAGGAAAAAGGTGCAAATCCCTTTTGGTTTTGGGTATTCACAGGAGTACCTTGTAGGGTTCCTGATGCCTCATCTGAGCTCCTCAGCCCTGTGCCCAGGGCTACAAACTCCCTCAATTTACAGAGATTATACAAAAGGACTCGGCCAGGGCATGCACAACCCCATCCCCAGTGTGAGGTTTCCTGGGAACATCAGGGGTGTTGCAGAGTCTCTCTCTGGGTGGTTGTGACTGGAGAACAAGGCTCAGGGTCCTGCCAGGCTGCTGCCCACACAGTGCTCCATGAACCTCACCACCAAACAGCTCAGTGAGGGGGGGAGAAAACCCTCATTTCCAAGAGCTGAGCCTCAGCCTGCTCCTCCCTGCGGCTCTGGCATCACTTCCCTTCCTGTCTAAGGATGGCTGGTGCAGGGACCAGACAATTCCAGTGCCTGCAGGAAAGCATTGCCAGGAACTGTGTCCAGCACCCTGAAATCTCTCACAGGGTCCAGTGAGTCTGGGAGCTCCTGCCTCTCTCCTAAAACTGGAGACTGCTCCTGCTTCTCTGGGGGAAAGGGTGAGTGGGGTAGGCAGCCAGTCCAGGACAGTTTCCCAAGACAAGGCTGAAATTCCCACCAACAGCCCTGGCCAAACTGCAACTGGGCAAAGGGAGAAATAATCCCAAGAGCTGATGATCCTGCCTTTTTCCCACTCTGAGCCCCCACACCAGGGTCTTCTCCAGGCACTGCAGGGCAGGGGGTGGTGAGGGGTGGACAAACTGCCCTGTTGATGGGCAGTGACTTGGCTGTGGTGCCTGAGGAGTTTGCTCTCAACAGCCAGATCATGAAATCCCAGTATGGTCTTAGTTCCTCCCAGGAAGACAAGGAGGCACCAACACCTGCTAGACCAGCCAAACCTTTCCAATTGTGCTTTTCTACACTGGATGGATCTTCCTCCAGCTCCTCCAGACAGTGGAGCCAGGGCTTTTCTCTGTCAGGGAAAAGCTGCCCTGATCCACAATGGCCTGGAGCAGAGATGTGGCCACAAGCATTGAAATGCTCTGGGAGGGTAAAGACCAGCCTCCAAGGTGTGTCACTGGTTCCCCCAGTACCACGTCTGCCTGGAGGGCCTCATGGATATTGTGTTCCTGTGCTCTGCTCTGCCCTGCCCTCAGGAAGGGCACAAGATCCTCCTGACAGGGTCCTGCCCATCCTACTGCAGCTCCTGGCAGTGGGGCTGTGCCTTGAACCCTGCTTGGAGAGCAAAACCTGGACATGGGGAGCAAAAGGAAGGTTTCATAGGGAAGTTTAAGAGCTCAAAACTTGGATTTTGTTCTATTCCAACCTGGAAGTTTACATTTAAACATTACTTATAATTTTAAAAAAAAATTGGATGGGGCGGGACTAGCAACCCATTTCCTATATTGGAGTAATGGCATGTAAAATAAAAAAGCCTGGCACAGAAGTTAATTTTGAAAGGTAAAACAATGTTTTAGGGCCTGAACTTCTCTCATGGAAACACGACAACTGACCCAGCAGGAGTCACTTCCCAGAGAAGGTTTGGACACAGACTCCGAGAGGGCATTGCAGGAGTGAAATGAAAGCTGAGAGCTGAGGCCTTTTTACCTTCCTAAAATACATCAGCTCCTGACCTTGGCATCACCATCCACCTTAGTCTGAGACCTGGAAACTGCTGCTTCCTTCCTCCCTGCTTTGTCTGCTTCCTGTGGCAGTCCCTGTTCCAGGTTGTTCACATCTGCATCCTGCTCCTTGGGCCCTTCTCCACGGATCACAGTCAGCCAGAGTTGCCATGTCTGCCGCTAACGTGAAGGATTTCGTACACACATCTGCAAAACAACTACCAGATTCCTCCCTTGAATTGTTACAAAGTCAAGTGTAGGCAAAAGTTTTACACTTCTACTGGTCAATGGCTCAACACAGACTTCAGATGAGAATATGTGAGGTGGTCAACATGCTGCTAAAGCTCTGAAGACATCAGGAAAACAGAGACAGAAGTGAGGCAAAGGACTGAAATTCCACCCAAGGGACTTTTCTTCTTTAAACCTCATCTCATGTTGCCTGAAGTTCTCCACTTAAAGCAGACAGCAAGTCAGAGGGATGGGTTTTTCATGTTTTTATTTACTAAGGTTTTTATTGTGTGTTTTATATTGCAAACCCCACCCCTAGAACTCTTCCCTCCCTTCCCCCCAAAAGAAAACAAAAATAACAGTAGTAATAATAATAATAATAATAATAATAATAATAATAATAATAAATATAGTTCCACCTACTGAGACAAGCCTAGTGTTGACTGGGGTCCAGTCAGAATAACTCAATATTGGCTACTGCACTGCTAAGAACTGGGAAACCAAAGGAGATCCCCGTGAAACACAAAGCAAAGGAGGATGTTCAGCAGTGGTGATGGAACACACGTCTGCCAGAGCCAGCCCTGGGGGTCCTGTGCCCCCCTGTCTGAGTGTCCACGGGGCTGGGGAATTCAAGTACCAGTGCAGCAGTCACAGGACAGCCATCGAGCAGGGCTTGGCATTGCTGGGCTGGAGACCTTTCCTCCCTGCTTTCCCACCCCACAGCCAGACTCAGCTCCCAACCTCTCGAGATGCTCGTTCTAGGGGCCCTCCAGCACATGGGGGAAAAAGTTTGCTAAACCAAGTAGAAAACTGAAAAGGATATTGTGAGTCTTCCTTTTAGGAACTGCCTCATACCTTTGAAAATATGAGAGGGTCTGTGAGTCTGCTTCAATTCCTGTTTCAAGATGAACCTGTACATATTTGGAAAAGCAGGATCTATAGATTATAATTATCACCTGCCAATCAGTCCTACAGGAGGGTCAAAATCGACATGTATTTTAAAACTAGGATATATATATATATATATATATATAAATGTGTGTGTGTGTGTGTGCTTACATGTGTGCATAAATAGACTACATAGGTGTATAACTATACTATATATATAAAAGCATGTGTGTGTATATAGATAGATATATAAAATCTATACAAACACACACACACACACACATGCACCCCTCCCACCACACACACTCACACATATATAGGTGTATGTAGCTAGTAGAAAAAACATTTCTAGAGTTCCCCTGACCCTTTAAGGAAGACCAAAGCTGATTACATCTGAATTCTGAGCCACCAAAGCACGTTGAAGCAGGAGTGCCCAGGAATGCTGCAGCAACATTCGAGATACAGGCACATGTCAAAGAGTTTTGCAAACAATTTAGTATAAAAAACAACTGTCAGCCAGTGTTTTGGGGGTGGGAGGAGGTCAGAGAGGGAGTTTGAGGGACCTATATCATTACTGGGATAAGTTTTTGGCACTGCTGCATGAAGTCCTGCTTTCCCTCTGGGGACCCCATGATAGCTGGAAACAGAGGGAGGCTGGATGTCTTTCTAACAAGGGTTAGAAAAGTTGAGCACCTGACTCTTACAGTGAGGTGTAGACACCTCTTGGCCTAAGAAAAACTGAAACAGAGAAAGGATCAAAGTAACAGAAAAGGAGACATTCACTCTAGAGGTAAAGGCTGCATCTTCTCAGTGTGCACCCAGCGGCCCCTCACGCCCTCATCCCACTCTGACTGCCTTAGGGGAGCCCAAAAACTCCAGCTCCAGGTGCCTGCCAGGCCCCAGGTGTGTCCAGTGACGCTGCAGCTGCAGGGCCAGGCCAAAGCCCATCGGGTGCAGCTCTTATTGCTGGTGAAGTCAAACGAAGGATTTCGGACCCCCCGGCGGGGGGGAAGCACAGACCATGGCTGGCCAAATCTCTGGTCTAATCTGGTGTGAGTGGTGAAAACAGAGTTGCAAATCTGGAGGATTCTTGGCTGGGCACCAGAACTACTCTGGGTGCCTCAAAGCTCAAACTCCTCTAGGCTGAGGAGGAGGAGGGCAGGGGTGACTGCACCCCACTGCTCAGTCCTTTTCTAGTTCTCTTCAAAGCAGTCAGCCCATGGACACTGAGACAGTAACGTGGCAGGGGAAGGTTCAAGTGCTTTCCTTCTCCATCCCTCCCCTGGCTTTGCACACACACTTTCCAAACCATGGAGAGGCTGAAGTTTGGGCCTTTGTGCCAGCTTGAGGTCACTGCCTGGTATGCTGGCAGAGCCATGATTTTTCCCACTGCCCACATCCATGACAAAAATACAGAGGGGATAATCACTGCCCTCCTTGTGACCTACAAGGGACTGCTCCTTGTTCCCATCAGAGCATCAGTGGAGTCAGAAAGAGACAGTCTGAGTGAGGCCCGTCCGCCTGCTGGTCACCTTCATCTTCTTCAAGTGGAGTCCAAACCAAAACTTGGCCCTTGGGAAATCCCTAGAGGGGTCTGGAATAATGAAACTCCCCCCTCTTCTTGCTTGCTTTGCAATCTGAACACAGGAGGGAACATGGGAGGAAGGGACACCTTCTGGTGCTCACAGTGGGCCATCCACAACCCCCAGAACCAGGTGCTGCAGACCAGGGTCACAGCTGAGGCCAACCAGGGCTGTCCTAAAACACCAGCTACAGACCTGACCTGATGTCACCTCCTACAGCCCACGTCAACCTTGGATCTTTGTCTCAACAGGAAAACCTTTTTTTGGTGGCTTCTATGGCTGATCATTCACATGTTCCAGCTCAGGCACACGCCTCGCCTGTGCGTTACCTCGTTGGATTAAATTTGCTCATATCCTTTTGTTCCATGTATTAAAATATTCTATAAAATCAAGTGACCAAAAATCTATAGCTCTAAGAATACCTGGTTATCTTCTTTTTTTGTTGTTGTTGTTGTTTTTCATGTGTTTTTCTTTGTTTCTAAGCACAGTTAAACCTAAACAAACGAAATGGAGAAAACAAAGCGGGCGCGAGGGTGGGGGGGAAGGAAAGGGGAAAAAAAATGCTTCATGAACTCATCAGGAACTGAACTGCAGGGCTGACATAACCAGCTCTCGGGAGGAGTCCTCACAAATTGGAGGGCAGTTTGGATCTGACGGGCTCCAGATCCCCTGTGAGCACTATGGATTCTTTGCGCCCACCAGCAGTCAGAGGAGCAGCGCCGGCCCCGAACACCAGCGGGTGTGGCAAAGACCCTGAGGACATCTGCCGCGGCAAAGTCACACGCCCGGGGATCGAGCTACAAGGCTTCCCCAGAAGTCCAGTCCCTCCTCCAGGAAAAGGAGAGAAGCTAGAAACAGATTCTCTAGAGGAATGAGGAGAGCTGTGGCCCAGTGTCTGCGCCAGCTCCTGGGGCAGAGATGGCTGGGAAGCAGAGATCAGCTTGATGTCCTGGTTGAGCCGTCCCGGCGGCACCGGCGCCGTGCCTTTGGCCTGCAGGATCTGCGGAGGGGGGCTGGCGGGCTGGGGCAGCAGCAGCGAGCCGTGAGAGCCTGTGGGCCCGGCAGGGCCACTCTGGAAAGTTCTTGTTGCCACTGGGCTCTGACTGGGAGGACTAAGGCCAGAAGGGGTGTAACAGGGAGAGGCGACACCGGACTGTTGCAGTGGAGACACGGAGGCAAAGGGAGGCCGTTCTTGGTGGAGCTGGGCTATCGTTCCAGTTAAAGATCCTAATGCACTTGGATGTGTTTGGCACAGGCCTGAGGACGGCCCACCTGAGGCCTGTGCCAGCTGGCTTAGGCTGGAGGATGGAGAGTTGGAAGAAGGAGGGGGTTGGAAGTGATTCATTCCCCCCAAAGTCCCACTGCCCGAGAGCTGCTGTAACTGTCCCCCCTGCAGTGGTCTGGTGGTTGGCTGGAACTGGTTGAGAAGACTGGGGGGTGAGTTTGATGAGAGCTGGGTGAGGGACGTCGATGGGGAGCTGGTTGTGGCTTGCTGGAAGTGCCCAAATCCACTGCTGGAAAGGGCTGGCTGCTGTTGCTGTTGCTGCTGCTGTTGCTGCTGCTGCTGCTGTTGCTGCTGCTGTTGTTGCTGTTGCTGCTGCTGCTGCTGCTGCACCGGCTGAGCTGCACCTAAGGGTGATCCAGAAGGTGCGCTTTGGAACTGGCTCAGTCCCACCGAGGAGGTGCTGCTCAAACCCGGCTGGCTTGAGCCACCTGGAGGGGATCCCACCTGGAACTGGCCTAAGCCGGCGGCAGCTGAGAACCCTGCGAGCTGCTGGATGTGGAAGGAAGAGGACGAGGGGGTTTCTGCTCCGGGTGTGTGCAGCTGGGATGGAGTGCTGGAGGGAGAGCCGACGACAGAGGGGCCGGTCGATGGGATCAGGGACTGAAATCTTTTCAGCTGCCTGGGAGTCTGGTTGGATTGCTGCCCCAGGGAGCCCAGGACGGACACGGGTGGACGGAAGATGGCTGTGGGGAGCCGGGGGTGGTGGGTCAGGGCGATGGCCACGGACGTGGTGGCTGCTGCAGCCTGGAGGGGGGCCTGGATCAGCGGGGTCCAGATGACCGGGGTGGGTGTGGAGGCGGCGGCGGCGGCGGCCTGGACATTGTGAGCACAGTGAGCCATCTCCCTGTCGTGCTGCACGATCTGCTGGATGATCTCATTCTCCTGGTAGTTGAAAACACCCGAATTCAGGTCATGCTGGACTTTATGCAGCAGAATGGAATTCTTCTTGCCTGTAGAGAAAGTGAAGAGGGAAAGAGTCATTCTGGGATGTCAAAGCATGGGAGGCTTCCTCAAAGCTTCCTGCCAGACTTCCCTCGAATTGTTGGCACTGTCTCCTCTCCACTGTCCTCATGGGATCTGTGCATAGTCTCTCTGCTCCAGCAACAAGATGACAAACATCACATCTTCTGCTTTTGTGGTATGAATAACCTCAAGATCCCATCAAACTGAGCCCAGCAGGACACATATCCCTAGTTAGACAGTAAAGCCACTTTTGATAAGTGTGGCAGACTGGTAGCAAAGCTTATGGATCTGGAAGAGTCCTATCTTGCACCTCACAATCTAAGCTTCCATTAAAAAAAAGAGAATAAATCCTCAAAAATGTTAGTCCAGTGAAGTCTTCAGTTACTCTCCTTCAGTTACACCCTTTTCTCATCTGTCTCATGTGACTTGTTCACTCTGGAGTCAAATATGTGGGTTTAGTTGCAAGGAAATTTCTCTGTGAACAAGGTACAGAAGGACTTGATGATCTTGGAGTTCTTTTCCAACCTTAATGATTCTGTGATTCTCTTCTATGACTTTCTGTGCTGGAAAAGCTCAGCTGGCCCAGGTATGACCCTCAGACATCCTGCAGCTCCCATCCTGCCTGGCCATGCCCTTCTACTCCCAGCTTTAGGGAGACTGCAGGCCAGAAACATCATGTTCCAGCTGGCCCTCCCAGCCTGCAGCAAAGCATTAACTCAGCGCTTTGCCTTTGCAATGGGCTGGAAAATGTGGTGGAATGAGTTTGTCTGGCCTGGGAGTGCACCTGGCACTGAAGGGATGCACTCCTGGCCTGAAGGACAGAACCAGTCAGGCTCTGGGGAACCATTCAGGGCTATGTGGTAGGAAGAACACGCCGAGGGTTTTTCCTTTCCTTTACTTTCTAAAATCAAGCATTTATGACTTTGTAAAGGACGAGGTGTGGCCCTGGGTGCTTGCAGTGGGTTGAGCTGCACTGAAACGCTGCCAGAGTTCTGACCCTGGAGCTGAACTGGGACGTGTCTGTTGTGGGTGCTGGGATGGGATGCTTAATGCTTTTGTGTTTCACCTACTGCCTACCAAAAAAAAAATAAAAAAAAAGAACGCAGAAAGGCTTTCTTTTCTCATCTCAGAGCAAGACATCAGCCTGGGAAGGACACAGTCCTGAAGGCAAACAGGGTTCTGCGCTGCTAAAGTCGTTCCAAGGGCTGGAGAGCTTGTCTGCACTGGAAGTGCGTGTGTAGGGTATTATATAATGGCTGTTTCACTGTATGCTGCACTGGAACAACACTGGATACCCCTATACAGACAGATCCTGCTTCTACCCACAGCCAGGCACACCAGAGAGAGCATGAATGTCACCTTTAAACTGCATTTGGTAGTGAAAGGGAGGGAACGGTGCAGAGGGTCCTGCTGCACACACACACACACACACACACACACACACACAGAGTTATTTCCACCTGGGTTTTACTAGAATCACATACAAATAGGCTCACAAACTGCTGCTCAAACAGGAAGAGAGCATGGAGGGAAGACAACCTACCTCACTACAACTGGCAGGTAAGGGAGAGCGTGACCAGCACTGCTGAGCTAAGGAGGGGCTCAGGCTGCAGGTTTGTAATCACTCCCTTTCTGGAGCTGAAGGTACAAATCCCAGCATGTGGAATCTGTAGATCTTGCACCACTGCAAGGTCAGGATGTGGATGGGAGACATCATGCTGAGCTCAAAGCTTAAAAGGTGCCTTGCTGTATTTGCTGTCCTGATACTGGACAAATCCAGGCTGGGGAGGAACGGCCGGGGCAAGGGAAGGAGGAACAGCTCTTGAAAGGCTCAGTAGCAGCCACTGCTCTGTGTTTCCATCATTGCACCTCATTCCACTCTTCTAATTCCATGTCACCTGGCTTTGGCTCCTGATTTGCTCTGTGTGCTTGACTAGGCCTGGAATTCCCAGTGCTGCCCTGGATTCCGATGGGAAGCACAGTGATGTTATCAGAGCTCCCGGATGGGAACTGGTGTTCCCATGGCCTGAGCTCCTGACTACACACAGGGAGCTCAACAGACTGGTTTCCTTGGCAGGGTACTGAACAGAGAGCATGCTAATGTTTTCCAAAGGTGCCTAATATTCACCGGAAATGGTTTGATCAAAGCTCCTTAACTTTGTGTCAAATCCATAAAGTAATACCAGTAAAATACTTGGAATTATTATTTTTGTTAGTTTTTAAAACAGAGCACTTCATTTTGCCTTTGAAATTACATTACACTTTACTGTTTTCCTGAGCCCAGCTTGTATCTATTAACTGTTTCATTAGATCAAATTTTTCTCTTCTGTTTTGCCAAGAAAATATCAAATTTCTCCTCCAGAACACTGTAGAAAATTACTGAAAAATGTTCTCTCAGCTATTGAAGGGGAGAGGAATTTTTCAAAATCATTTTTCCAAATTGTAATTGGTTGGCAAACTGAAAAATTAATTGGTTCCACCATTCTAATGAATTGCATCATTTACATGATATTTCCACACGCCAATGTAAGTCCTATTAGTTGCTTCTGGAGAAAATCCTCCTTCCAAGCAGCACCAGATGAGAGCAGGCACAGAGCAGAGTCCTGGTGGGACAAATACATTTCCCTGGCAGGTCTGACTAAGGAGCTGCATGAGACATAACCCAGCAGTGGAACAAGGGACTGGGAGTAACTTTGCCTGGGCCAGTGGTTCTGAGATTATTCCTCCTCCTAATCTTATCTATGAAGCTGCTTCAGTCACAAATTCACTTCCCTGCTCTGGATTTGTTGTCCCAGCCCCTGCCCAGAGGGAGAGCAGAGAGCAGCACTGAGAGGGCTGATGGTTGATGAGTTTGCTCTGTGTAACCCTCGCTGAAATGAGGTTCTGCAGCTCCCAGCTCTGCTCAGCCACCCGCAGGGAGCCCTGTGTTCTTGCTAAACCAGGGAGAAGCTTCATCAGGAGAGAGGAAAAGGGACTCTGTTCCCTTTCAATCTAATCAGGGAGGCTCTTTGTGACAGTTTGTCCTTCTGTGTTGTTTATCCTGCAGAAATTACAGTGCTGAGCAGAGTTTAAGGTACAGAGATAAATAATCCACCCAAATCTCACCCCAAAAGCGCTACACAAACCCACCGGGATGGCCCAGAGCTGGCAGAGGAACCACCTGCAACCACCCCATGCACCACCTCCCCTCCCTTGCTTTAGAACTCCCTCTGGGGTCTAAAAACTCCCTGTTTTCCTCACTGCAACAATGAGCTAAATATAGGGGGAAAGGAAGATATTTAGAGCCTTGAGGATGTTCACAGCAAAGCTACTGGTGCTTTGAAGTGGAGTGAGGTATGTAAAATTATGGAAACGAAGCAAACAGATGTTGCTCCCTTAATTAAGAACTGCAAAGTCAGATTTTCCTCAACTGTAGATAGCACACAAAAGAACAGGGAGAAAGGCTCATGTGATTTCATAAAAGGAGCCAGCACTCAACAATAATTCTTCCATCAAATAATCAAAATTAGCTTTCTGTTGTTAAAATTCTGCACAGACACAGGGGAAATTAGCTGTGACTTTTTGTTCAGTTTTCTTTTCAGCTCTCTCTAAGCCCACTGGCTGCAGTTTAAGAATTCAGGTCACTAAATTGCTTTCTGAATTTGCATGTATTTGAAATAATCTCACTTTATTAGGCTGCCTTATGCCCTGGCCTGCTGTCAGAGTGGCTGCCCCCACCACACAGTTACTTCTTTCAGGTCTTCACTCATTATTCATAGGCCTCGTCCTAAATGGGCCCTTGGTTGCAGCACATCCCAGCTTTGCAGGGGGTCTCTGCCCTCCCTTCCTTGGGTCACTGGTGTCCTGTGGGAATTCAGCCTGCTGCCACCATCCCCAGAGGGGCATCACAGAAAACCCTGGACACACTCAGTGACTGGCACTTTGCCACGGCTGCTCCCCTGCCCCAGGGAGACTCCTCTGCACTGGGACTGTCCTGGCTGGGAGGTCTCATTGCTCCAGCTCCTGCTGCTGCCTTAGAGTCCATGTAAACAGGGAAATCGGCTGGAACAGGGAACTCAGAATAATTCTTAACTCCCAGTCCTTCCCCGTCCCAGCCTGACCTCTCAAGGTAAGTTAACCCTCACTGAACTGCACTTACTGCTGTGGGAAGGTTTCTGCCTGGAATTGAAGGAGCTCCTGGAAAAGAGCTCAGCAAAGCCAGCTGGATCAACTCTAGGAGCATACTCAGAGGAGTTCAGAACACGTAAACCTGCTCTGGAAACTGCTCCAGATTAACTTCCCTGAGAGCCATGTAAATCCATGGCACATGGGGGTGTGAGCTCTTCCACACCCAAGGCAGCAGCCTCTGCATCCCACACCTCTGCTTCCCTCTTGCTAAAGCTGCATCCTCTGAACTTGGATGGTACATTTCAAATGGACAATTCCCTATCTTCCCAAGTGGAAATCTTCCCTCCCAGTACAGCTCAGGCCTGCCAGTACAGCTCAGGCCTGCCACTGATTGCTTCTCCTCTTCCATAAACCAAACAGGTATCTGTCAAAATATGTGGTATCTCTTTTAACAGACAGAATGCAGCCAAAACTGCTGCAGGTCAGATGACACACAGTGAATAATATTATCCAGTGAATCTCATCACAGTTAAACAGAATTCAAAATAAACAGAGCTCTTCCCTCCCACTCTTCACATTTATGCCCATCATACTGAGCTTTGCAGAGAAATAAACTGAATATGCAGAGCTGGGTAGAATGTGAATATCCATGAGGGGAGAAGAGCTGTGTCATTCTGGAGGGGCTGTGGTGCCTGTGGTGCCTGAGGCAGTGTCCTGGCTGCTACTTATCACTGGAGACTGAAGCCAAAGAGTTCTCCTCAAGTGGCACAAATGCCAAAGCTCCTGCACTCAATCTCAGTGCCCTGCTGGAGCTGACAGCTGTGACAGGGACACACTCTGGAAGACTCTGGACACTCTGGCACTGGTTTTCTGTCAGTTAGGTGCTTTGCAGTGTGGGTGGTTGCAGAGAGCTGCTGGAGTGCCTTCCAGGCAGGAAATGTCCCCTGAGACTAGAGGTGTCATTGGTAAGCAGGTCCTACTCCATGTAATTAAAAAGAGGCTTGAAAATTATTTACAAAGGTGTTGGAATGGTAAAATGTTATCTGAGCAGATGTTTTATTTCAATGCAGGTAGCAAAGATCAAAGTTATTGATGAAGTCAAAGACAGGTCTCCTGAGATCTCATCACCACCCCCAACTGTTCCTTCTCTTGGGGTGTCTTGGGCTTTGTTTTCCTTCTGGAGCTGCATGAGAAATGGCACTTCATATTCAGGTGAACAGGGGTGCCAGTTCACCTTAATTAAGCTGAAGTAATTTACATTCCCTCGTGGCTGGTGAGTTACTGATACCTTTCCTGAGGCTAAACAGAAAATACTCTGAGTCTGGGCCTTCGCTTCCAAAGAAAAAGAAATTCAACTGTTTAGCTCCTGCTTAAGTCGAAGCTCACACATTCTCCCACTGCATACCTGGGCCACAGGAACTTTTATCCTTGCATCACCTGTGCCTGTATCAGCAGCTTCAAAAAAGAACTGTGTATGTATATATATACACACACATATATATGTATATAAATAATCATGCTCCTCTCACATGTGCAGCTCTTTGGGGGTTACTCACCTGTGTGCAGTAAACAGATCTGGCACTTCAGTGTGGATACAGTGTAAAACTGATGCTGAGCACACCTTGTTTTATCTATCCACATTTCAGCCCCTTTCTTTCCTTCATGATCTCACCCGGCCCCTGCCCCAGGGGAGCAGCTGTGAAACACTCCCAGCTCCACCTTTTAGTATTATTTTCCCTGCAGGAGTGATGAGGAACTGAGGCACGGAGCAAAGGCAGGACAAGGACAAACAGGGAATCTGTGGCAGAGCTTGGCAGCGATCCCAGCTCCTCTCATCCCCAGCTCACCTCCCCTCACACGGGCCAGCCCAGTTCTGAGCAGCAGATCCCAGAGGATTAGTCAGGATTGGACAAGCAGGGCTGCAAACCCAACAGGATTGCAACTGCAGAAGTGGGATCACGAGCTGGCAGTCAAAAAGTTTGGGAACAGCTATTTTTGTGGCTTGTTTATGTGACAAAGCTTTTAAAACTTCTACCACTGTAGTATCTTGAACAGAACACTCTCATACTGCAATAATACCATAAATTATATTTAGAGACTGGAATTGTGTTGTCTTGGCTTTCCTTTGTTTTTTTAGCATCTGCAATGCCTGGAGGAAACACGAGGCATCTTTAATCCTGAGTTAACTGGCATCCTTGTATCAAAACATATGCAAGTGGCATTCAAAATATATGCATTCCAAACTATGTGGCAAAAAATTCTTGATGAAAATGAAAAAAACACCTTCCTCTGGCTTGAGGGATGCTTTCAGCTCTCACCAGTGACCTTGACAGGGATGGTGAGAACCTAATGACAGGCATTTATGGTACTTATTACAGCACATTGAACAGTGGAAAATAATTGTCCCCCGATATCTTGTGAACGCATCAGTGAACTTTGATTTGACAATACTCACGGCCCGTGCTGGATTTACTTTCAATGAACATTTAAGTGGTTGTGTTTTACAAGTGCAAATACTTGTGAAAATCTAATTTTAAGCTTCAATGGTCACTGAAAGCCAGTTTCAAAGGCAGTCAGGAACAGAATGATGCGACTTACGTAACGGAGGCATCACAAACTGGGACGATTCACAAACACTGTCAGACAGAGACTTACTCACTGGAGAAATCACAGAATCATTTCAACACACAAATGCTATAGAGAATTTTACAGCTTGGTCAAGAAGAAGAAAGGGAGGCTGATTTAATCAGTGATAAAATGATTATTAACGAGTGATCAGCCTAATTTCTCTGAGTGTAAATCTTCCGACCCTGAGCCTGTGGAGTGTTAAGTGTGATATTGTGCAGGTTGAGGAGTTTTTAGAGTCTGAAGTTACTGAGACTTAAGCAGGGCCACAGATCTTTGCAGAATCCCAGCCTCAGTCAATTCCTGCAGACTAATCCCTCCCAGTCTTTGAAGAGCTCTGCAAGTACAAACACCTGGGGAGCTCCTTCCCCAGCCATGCAAGGCACAGGCAGGATGCCGGTATCAATTCCCATGACTAGCAGAGGTTAGAGGACACACCAACACAGAGGGGCTGCAGGAAGCGGTGGGGGCACAGATCAGGGGGCACTGGCCCTTCTCCTCCCCCCTCTGCCCACCCACAGGCTTCCAAACTGCTTTTGCCCTGCTAAGGGAATGCCTCATCCCACCTCCAGTCAACCAGCCCTGCTCCTGGTGCTGCAAGGGATGAGGCCTCACCTGCTCATCCTGCTACCTCGACAAGCTTAGACCATGCTTTCCACACCCTCCAACAGCAGGTAATCCCACAAACATTGGGATGAGATCTTCCTCCCTGCTTTCTCGATTCCTCACTGCACAGGGGGAATATTGGATGGATCTTATCCTGGTACCAGAACAGTGACAGAGCCCTCTGAGCCACTTCGTGTGCTCACTGGGGCTTGGGCTTCCCAAGGACATGCTGCCACCCGGGTAGAAGGGAGTTAGTGGATTGCACCACTGACTTGGAAAGAGGCTCCCATTTGCTTCCATCTTGTGTACAGCTCCCAAGCAGAACGTGGCAGGAACCAAAAATATGGTCCCACTTCTGTTCATATCTGGCTTTCAAAAACTGTTGTTCCTCGACTTTAGCCCTCCAGAATGATCCCTCCACTTTTAGTGAGTCTCAGCAGATGCAGGAACTTTGGATTCCTTCAAAGGTCCATGCTGTTACTCAGCTACTGCACTGCTCTGTCTGCATGGTGCACGTTCCAGGGGAAGTGAAGAAATGCCTTATTTATAAAGACAGGGATTTCCATGGGATCTGCCAGTTTCAGTAGGGTGCACAGAACTCCCTTAGGCTCCTTGGGGCAATTCCAGCTAAAGAGTGCTGGGCACCACGGGGTTCAAAAGGGTTATGGAGATGCTATTTTGCAATAGAAGGTGTAAGGTTGAGAGAACAGAAAACAACCGAGTTTGATTGCCAGGGAAACAAGGATAGCAGTAGGATTTTCAATGGCATAGGGACTGATGTTGTTTCAGGTCAGCAGAATGGCAAAAGGAAGGGGGGCGATGTCAGGGCTCTGCACCAAAGGGCCTGTTATTCCAGTTGCTCTGTGTCACCTTCTGACCTTATGTTGACATTTTGCAGCTGCCTGTGGAACGGAATTTCTCCTTGGGGAAGAAGCATGTGAGGTTCTTCAAGCTGTTTCAGAATTGTCCATGAATTTCATGGAAGTTATGTGTGCAGCAGGCACAGAGCAAAAGGCAAGAAGCACAGGATGCCCTGGCCACCTGTATCCACAGTCCCAGAGAGCATCAGGCTGGGAAGCTGAGCAGCACTGACCACCCAGACCTGGAGAACCTGAGATAAAGCCGAGCTGGCCCATCCCTGGATGTGCCTGACATTACATTTTCTCCGTGCATTTACTGTCTAATTTAAATAACCCAAGTGATGGGCTTATTGCCACTTACACCAGGGCCTCATTAGCGGGGGCTTTGCCAAATTACATATTTAGCTCAGAACCTTTTCCTCAGGGGTCACACTTTCTGATTTGCAGCAGGTAATGAGATGCACTGAATAAAATGTTCCTGGCAGGAAAAGCCCCAGAGGCGCTGCACCCCTTGCTGGGATGCCAGGTTATTCCCTACCCCCCTCACCCCATTATGCTCCTCACCTTCTGCATTGTACTCAGACCTCCACTGACCTTTTCCATTCAGAAAGCAGAGAGATGGATAATAAGAGATGCATAATAGGCTAAAGAAGTTAGACTGGGAGTCCAAAATACTCAGTCCCCAGCTCTGCAGCCCTCTTGCATGACCTTGCATAAGTCACTTAATCTCTGTGTTAAACGCATCTGGTTGTGACCAAGGAATTTTATCCTGGTCTCCTGTAGTTACACAGGATGTTTTCAGCACAGGTTATGTCTCCCACAGGACAGAGAGCATCCTGGGATGGCATCCTGGGATGGGTCACTATGAGCTGTAACAACCACAGAATCACAGAGTGGTCTGGGTTTAGGAAGGACCTTAAAGCTCATCCAGTCCCACCCCTGCCGTGGGCAGGGACACCTTCCACTATCCCAGGTTGCTCCAAGCCCCGTCCAACGTGGCCTTGGACACTTCCAGGGATGGGGCAGCCACAGCTTCTCTGGGCAACCTGTGCCAGGGCCTCTTCACCCTCACAGGGAAGAATTTCTTCCTAATATCTAATCTAAACTTACCCTCGGTAGGTTTAGATTATGGGGCTCCTTGAGGGAGCTGAAGTCAGACAGGGAGAGACAGGCTGGGATCTCCTGCAGTTCACAACTCAGCAAAGGAACTAAGGACCGAGCCTGGAGGTGGGTTGCCAAGGCAGCAGGTACAGAAGGAGACTCTCACACCTGTACTTACCAATTCTGTCCAGCCTGTCCAGAGCCACGGTTTCAAAAGCCCTGCGCATCATGGGGTACTCCTCCAGCACCTCGTTGAAGTTGTCCACGGACAGGGAGTACAGGCGGCAGTAGGTGTCGGCTCGCACGCTGGCCGTGCGCCGGCCCCGCGTCAGCAGGCAGATCTCTGCAAGGACACAGCAGGCTGGCACAGGGGACAGGGGACAGGCACACCCCCTGCACTGACCCTCACACCCAGCCTCCTCTCCAGCTGGGCTCCACCTGCTCCCCCACCGAAAACACGGCCAGTGCTAATCCCCTGCCTGGGCACCACCATTTAAAAATACCAGGGGCTCCGTTGTGGCAGCTGCCACACACAGCTGCACCTCGGGGATTCTGCTGATCTAATTAGCTGGGCAAGTTTTGTTATGGTGGATTATCAAAGATACCATTTGTGCATTCCTACTGGAGGAGCTGTCTTTCTCCAGCTCCTTGTGGGCACTGGGAGCACAAGGTCAAGCCGTGTCTCATTGAAGCTGATTCTCTCTAAATTTGTAGTAAAGGCTCTGTGCTGTCATGTGCTTTTGGTGCCTGGGTGTAATTTTGATCCTCACACCTGGAACATTTGTCTTTTCACAGTTTTCAAAGATTTTTGGGGATATACCACATGCTTACAGACTGTCAGGGAGAGCCACATTAATGGCACCTCAATATTGAGGTGTAAATACTGTATTTACACTGCAGTCATCCCCTCCTCCTCGGATGCTCAGCTCTTACAGAACAGAAAGCTCTTGATTCAACTACAGCTCCTGGAACACTCAACAGAGAGCTCCCAAATCCTGCTTTTCCACTGCTTACACAGAGTATGGGTAGCTGAGACAGGCACTTCAAGACAGCTGGTGTGACCTAAAGCCTGACAGTGCTCTGCTTTCTGCGTTATGTTGGGTGTCAATCCACCAGCACCATTCCTTGGATTCATGGTAAGTGTACCCCAAAGAGTTGTGTGTATGGTATCTACAACACAGGGAATGTCATGGGCGATTTCAATCCAATCTGTCAGTCAGGGTATCTCTGTAACTCCAAATCCCAGCTTGCAGACATGCAAAATCCTTGTACTACAGGGAAGTGCAGAGAGGTTGTTCCATGGGAACTAAGAGTAATAGGAGTGTGGGCAATGCATGACAGGGACTTTTTAGAGAAAAGGCCTCACAGAAGGGAAGGAAAGGCAGGTTTCATCCTCCTCCTCTCAGCAGATCATTAATGGTGGTGCATTCAGTGCTTGTACCACAACATTCATCTACCAGAGGACTACTTGTCTCAGGCTGTATGAGCTCTCTATGGGGCTCTGACAGGAGAGGGGTCTTTGTGTTACCCATGAGCAACATCTTAAATCTTTTCTGACCTCATGCTAGTCCCAGAACTCTGCTGCTGACACATTTTGCCTGCCTGCTGACCTTCCTGATTTTGCTGAGCCACAGGCTGGGGAGATGATGGACTGTGTTTTTTCCTCCATGTCTATCCAACACTTCGTGTGGTAGATGCCAGACAGCAGGACTAGGCAATACTACAAATGTGCCTGGAGATTTGAGAATGGGCCATTTTTTACCTTTAGGTTCTCAGCTTCACTGATCTGTCAGTATTTGGGACCTGCAAGAACAAACCTCCCTTCTCTGTTTTGTTATTTATTATCTGGACTGCTGCAGTGCCCACGAGCCCCAGTCACCTCCCACTGCACCATCTCCTCTCTGGGAAGCTGCAGGGCAGGTGAGATGAACAGACATGGAGGAGGAGGTGCCTGGGGTGTCAGTCCCATGTGGTACCACCCCTGTGTGCCCAGGACAATTTAGGGAATGCATGAGCATAGCAATGGGTGCCGCACCTCCGAAGTAGGATCCGTCGGCCAGCTTGGTCTCCTTGTTGCCCTTGGTGAGGACGCTGACCACGCCGTGCTGGATGAAGTACATCTTCTTGCCGATGGTGCCCTCCCGGATGATGTAGTCGCCCGGCTGGAACACCTCAAACCGCAGCTTGGTCAGCATGGACGTCACAAAGTTGGGGTCTGCGTTGGCAAACAGGGGCATGGAGGCCACCAGCTTCCGGCAGTTGAAGTTGATGATTTCCTGGCCATGGTGTGATGTAAACGAGAGAGAGAGATGGAGGGAGAGGGAGAGGGAGAGGGAGAGGGAGAAGAGATGGGACAGGGAACAGAAAGGACACACATATGTTTAGTCAACATCTAATGACCTATGGACATCCCCTACTTGACCTGTGCATTACAAAGTGGGAAGAAAAATGCTGTTCCCTTGGTGTGGCTCCCCCAGTGCAGGCTGGAATGGGCTCTGGATGCTGGGGAGCTGGAGCTGACAGCCCGACACCGTGCTCCACTGCCTTGATTCCTGTGCTTCCTCTCTGAGCAGGGACAGCACTCCCAACCTCCCAAACACACACAGTGTTCTTCTTTCTGCAGGAAACCTTGGACTGCGAGAGCTGCAGAGCACTGGTGAAATGCTCTTTGAAACAGCCCAGGGCTCCTCTCTGGGAAGATGTCATAACTCACCTTGGCAGCCCCACGTTCTCTGCTGCCCTTGCTTGTCAGTGAGATATTAAACTGCACAAATGTGCTGAGGCATTGGGAGAAAGAATTATCCTGTGCAGACTGGGACAGTGTCAGGAGAGGGGAGGGAGAGGAGCCACCAGTCACTGGGGCACGGGCTGGATCATCAGCCTTGGCTGAAGAAAACCCAGCTCAGCTGTTCAGCTGTCACACAGCAGACGGGCTGTGTCTCTCCTGTGGCTCAGTGTCACTCGGGGGGTGTGACAGCACAGGAGCTGCTCTGTGTGTGTCAGCTCAGACCCAGAGAGTGGCAGAAAGTGATACTGAGTAAATCACCTCAGCACAGCACTCCCCAGCCACACAGGGAAGGAGCATATGGATGACTGGAGCAGGAAGAGATCTGGAGAAGCATCTGTCATCTCCTCACTGGGAGTTTTAGAGGGTTGCCCTTTGAGACTTTGGCAAAACTACTTTTAAAACATGGCTGGCATTTTCTCAGCTCTTCTCTCTCCCATGGAGATACATTACAGGGGGAGGAATACAGCAGAAAGACCCCTCCTCGAACTTGTGGGTGACATATTGCTGACATTCCAGGGAGAACCTGCATTGCCAGGCTTCAGCTGGGGAGGGGGGCTTCTGTAAAGACTTCTTTGATTTGTGGGCCCTGCTAGGAGGCCCCTCCTTCCTTTGCCTCTGCCTGCTGTCCCAGCTGGTGGATGGGGCACAGACGAGACCAGCACACCACGCAGAGTTTTAGATAAACACACAAAGTGGGAGCTTGCTGAGACACTGCACCAGGAGCTGCCCAGCTGCCCAGGGTGACAGGAAATGCAGTGCCCACTCCCTGCCCTCCTCACCTCTCGCAGGGGCTCGCTCAGCTCCCCCAGGATGCTCTCCTCATCAAACATCTTCCCCTGGTACCGGTGCTCGTAGTAGTCGTGGATGCGCTGCCGCATGTCCGCCGGGAGCTTGTGGAAGGACATGTACTGCTCCACCTGTTTGTACTGTGCAGGGAGACAGCAAGGGCAGGCATTACCAGGACATGCAACAGATGGTCCCTGCTCATGGACCACCCCCACACCTGCTCCCTTCACACCAAGCCAGGCCCAGGAAGGTAAGTCTGATGGAGGAGAGAGCAACTGTCTGACTCCAAGGGGAGTTTGCAGGCTTGGCTCTCATATTCCCCAAGTGACTGCCCCACGTTTTAACTCTTAAACTTATCCTCGGCCAGTTACCCTGTGGAGACAACTCCTCACTCCCTGGGTGTGCAGCAGCCCAAGTGCCTGTCCTCCCCTGGGAGCAGAGCTGAGTAAGGAGTGCTCAGCTGGGAATCTCCTCTGAGGAAACAGTGCTGAGCAAAGACTGTCCAAACCCTGTGCAGGATGAGAGCAAGGAAAACACAACGTGCCCCCAGAGCAGGTTTCCCATGCCACACAGCAGAGTGGTGGCCAGGGTGTGACCTGGCAGGGACGTGCAGCACCTCAGGGCATCACTGAGGACAGGACTCACTGTACCAGGGGCCACAGGAAGCAGAGAACACCTGCCCTTGGGTGTGCAGTCACAAACTGAAGGACACACAGAGGACCCAAATCTGAGTTATTTGTCTGAAGCTGCAGTACTTGTGGCCTGCTGTTCCCCCCTCTGTCTGCCCTGCCATGATGGCACCTTTGCTTTCCCATCTAGGGCTGCACAGGTCCTGATTTTCCTCCCCTTTCCTGGCTCCTGTTGCCCCATGCACTCGCTCTGTCTAACCCATATTTCTACCTAATGGTTCATGTTTCCATTGTGTTAGAGTGGAATACAAGGACATGCTCTGAATGATGCCAGAGCAGGTTTGGGGGATGAACAGTGTTTTCTAAGAATAACTGACACTTCCTCAAGGGCACAGGGCTGTAAGTGGGTCCTCTTGCCCTGAAGGTGCTGCAGGGACAAGGTGGGTGCACTGCAATGGCCACGCTCCCTCTCACTGGCAGGAGTTCAGAACATGATCCTGAGTGTGTACCTGACAAAAGGACCGTGTTGCTCCTTTCCTATCCCTCTTTCCCCTCTTCTCCCTGATAAGTCCATCCCTGAATGTCCCTTTGGTGCAGCTTGAGCTGAAGAGCCTATTTACTGAAGTTGTGCTCGTTACAGCCGCTCCTGCACACCCCAGTTCTCTGCTCTGGTACAGCCTGTGCTGGCCCTGCCTCACATGCCAACAGCTCCATCTGCACCAGGGAGGGGAGGAATTGCTCTGAGAAGCCAAGGTGGCAGAGGGGACACTGGGGCTTTCCTGGCATTTCCAAAGCAGAGGAGCTGACTGTAAATATTCATGATCACTCCAGCCTGATCAAAGTCAAGCGAGTCACCCCGGGCAGAGCACTGGCAATGAACCCTGCACTTAATTATTGGGATTTTGGAGTTCTGCAGGGACTGGCAGGATGCTGTGTCAGGACAGGATATGCTGGGTGCTGGGAGGGAGAGAAGCAGGGAAAGGGAGTAGAAACCAGGGTCTCACATGTTGGCAACTCCTTGGCCTGACCCCAAGGAGAATTTTGCAAGTTATGCTCTTAAATGCAAAAAGTTTGGCTCAGATGCCTAAACACAGATGTGTCCTGCCACTGGAGATGCACTGCAGCATGAGACATCCATAAAACCTGTCAAACTGGACATGGGACAAGCAGGACACTCACCATGGAAAGGGAAATCATTAGGCACTAGCTTTTGCTGACTCAGGTTTATTAAATTTATCTGGATTCCACAAAGAGTTCTGCTTGCTTTAATGCTGCATTTTTGTTGAATAAATTATTTACCAAAATTATCACCCTATACCCTCAGTTTTAGTCCAGTGCCTTGAATTGGAGCACTGACCAGTGTCACAAGATGCCTCCCATCACCTGGTGCCAGCCCCCTGCCCTACCCGTCTTCTCTCCACCATGAGCCCTTGCTATCCATCTTCAACTGGCCTTTGCTTCTTGGGAAAAACACCCCCACAGTTCTCAAATTCACAAGCACAGCTTGGATGGGGTGACTGGGACTCTGCTTATTCACTACTGTACGTGGATTTATTGCTTTGTAACACAGAGCAATAAATTACTGCTCTGCAATGTCCCTGGGGCTTGTCAGATCCTCCTGCCACCGCTGTCCCCAGATAAGGCTCAGAGGGAAAACAGGACGAATTTCCTTCACCAGAAATAAAGGTGCTGCTTCTGATTAGAAATTAAAATCATGGTTATAAAAGAAAGCTGTAAAATAAGAAACCATCATTCTCTGTCACTGTTAACGAGAGGAAGGTATCTTGTCTCTCCTGCCTTTGCTATTGCTCCCTCCTCTCACCCAGCCAGCTGGAGGGGCTGGGGGCCCTTTAACTCCCGTGTGCAGAGATGGAGTCGGCAGAGATGCTCAGAAATGAAAGCATCAGTCCCTCTTTCTACATTTGATAAACTGAAGGTTCATGTGGGGTTTTCCCCTTTCCTTGGAGCTGCTCAGCCAGGCTGAAGGCCCCACTCCTGCAGGGTCAAGCATTTGGTACCGTGCACATCTGGCACTCTCTGAAGCCACTTCTTGCCCCTTTCTGTGCCTTTCAGACGTGGCCAGGCCTCCCCTGTCAGCCCCTTTCACCTCCTTCCTCCCTCATGCTTGTCTGCTCAGTCTCCCACTTGTCTCCATGTCCTCAGCCTGACCTGTGCTCAGAGATTAGTGGCCTCTCTGAGTTCAACTAAAAAGACTCATTTAGGAATTATTTAAATCTCTCTGAAGACAATCAAGTCCATTTAAATCCCAGCTCATTTTCTTAAGTCTGTTTTTCCTCAAATAAGCCCTTGAAGGAGGTATTAATATATCAAAAGGAAACCATTTAGCACAGTATTTTTGCTTCTATAACTGGCCACTTTTCCCTCGTTGCCTCACCACTCCCCTCCCCTTCTACCAAAGCTCAGATCACTCACAGTCCAAAGGGAACTAAATATTTTTAACTCCTTCCATGCCCTCAGTGCTCCTCTCTCAGGCAGGAATAAATCACTGGCTGAAGAGGCTCAACTATTTCCTTGTCCTAGTTCTGAATCAGACACATGGTGTGACTCTTGGGGTGTCCTGTGCAGGGCCAGGAGCTGGATGATCCTTGTGGGTTCCTTCCAACTCAGGAGATTCCAGGTTCTATGATACTGTTTGCATCCTTCTAGAAATAGGCTGAAATCACCTGGGACCAGGTTTCATTTCAATCTCAGTCTCCACATCCAAACTCCATGGAAGTAAGTCAACAGGAGATGCACTTGTGTAAGGAAAAGGAGGCTCCAGCAGAGCACATTCAATTCAGGGAAAGATTACAATGCTCTGACAGCATTTCCCATCCTGGTAGGACATACCCTGGGAGAGTGGATTAAGAGCCATAAGCAGCCCCTCTGACCAATGCTGGGACTCTCCCAAGTGGAATTTAGTGCTTCATAAGGGAAAGATCGAGTCATGAGATCCACCACACGAGGGTCTGGATGGGACACAGCTGCACCTCTGTTTTATTTTCTCTGATCTCTGATCAGGAGTAAAACAGTGCAGCTCCCCAGCACTCAGTAATCATCAAACCCACACAAATGCTGAGTTCTGGGGTTTTTTGTCTCTCAAACCATTCATATTCCCATGCTCAGGATTTATTCCACATCTTACTCAAAATGATCAGGACACATATTCTGGAGTTGCAGGAGGACTCCAGGAGCAAGTGGTTTAAGGGAGGAAAAGTGAAATTCTCTAATACAATAAAATCACTCTGACACTTCTGATGTGATCTTTGGTGGGTTTATAATTTTTTGCTCACTTTTATAATTTTTCTCTTCCTTCTTCCTGAAATTTTGCTGAGATCTGTAACTGGTGCAGTCTCCCACAGTTTATCCAGAGCCTGTGGGAAGACAGCTGGAGTGGCTGCATGGGAGGAGTTGGGGGAGATCAGAGTGTGGCACAGGCAAATTACAGCAGGTTGTTCAGGAGCCAGTGGTTATTTCAACACCACTTCGACCAGAACAGCTCAGACCACATTGAGCACAGCACCAAACATTATCAGTACTACTTCTGCTTTTTGATTAATGAGCTAAATTTAAAAACCAAGTCTCTCTACTCTTCAGCTTTGGAAGCAGTTTGCATTCTGCAAGAGCTTTATGTCCTGACCTCCTCCAAAGCCTGGGTTAACCTCTGTACCACGGCACTCAATAGTTTTGCCACCAGCAGATGACTTTTCAGTGTTACATGTCACCTGCTGAAAAGCCTGGGACACTCTCACCCTTCCTACCTGGTACCTTCAGAAATCACCTTACCCACAGTTGGGCTCCTTATCCCTCGCTGTCATACAAAGCTCATGGACACCAGCAGAAAGTTCCCAGAGCTTTTTCTCCACTTTCTATCCAACATTCATTCCTGAGGGTGCTCTAACCACCAGCTGCTGCAGCTGCCTCCCCTTGCTGTTCACCAGCACCTGTTCAGGCAAGGATTGTCTGAACAGATAATCCCATTTCTGGGCTGGGAGGTGGCAACAGGGTCACCAGTGAGCCTGATTAAACTCTTTTTACCTCATCCATCTTTGCTGCAAGCAATGTAAGTGTCTGCTCCCTTCGGGGTTCTGAGGAGAGCAGATCCAAGAGCTCTGGGACAAATCTCTTTGCATTAAATGTTGTGGGCAATGCCCTGTTTGTCTGCTCTTACAGGTGCTCAGACAGAAGGTCTAATCCTGTTCATCCCAGGAAGGTGGTGCAGTGGGGACTGTATTATGCACAAACTGTACCTCCCAGCTATGGAAACAGTCTGTTTTCCCTGGATAGCTCCAGCCTGGGAACAGCCCCTGAGGAGAAGGCCTCGTTGGGTTTGAGAGGTCACATACCAGCATTAGTCACTAGTCCAGCACAGGGCACTTTTGGACCTGGTCAGCCAGTCTCCTGAAACTCAGATCACAGGATATTTTGGATATGTCAGGTCGTGTCACTGGATCCACATATCTGGAGTGTGGTGGGGAAAAGGGACCAGCAGTACTTACATCACAAGAGCA